ATGTGTTGAGTAGCACTTAGGTTTCTTTGCTTGACGAACGGACCCCGTATATACTAGGCTTCCCTACTATACCTTAATGGCTTCAGAGTAGACGCAGTAGCTGGAAGGTTTCATCTCGAAGGAGCGGTTAGATAGCCAAATGGGTAAAGCGTCGACTCAGTGCGCCGAGTTCGATTCCAGATGTGAATAAAAGCGATAAAACCATGGTAAATCTCTTATGATTCCTACTATATCAGACCGCCTCCGTGGTCTAGTGGTAGAGCGTCCGCCTGGAGAACGGAAGGTCTGGGGTTCGATCCCCGGCCGCGTCATACCAAAAGACGTTAAAAGATGGTACTTGTTGTTACCCTGTCTGGCGCTCGGCATTAAGGGGCTAAAACAAGGACTGGTCGGCTCGGAGTCAGTATACTGTGTCTGAGTGTGGTATTCATGTTAAACTGCGGCATGGTATCTCAGTGAACTAGCACTATAAATCGGCATCAGTCCGGACTAGTACAAGCAGCCACACAAACACACACGTACATGCACGTCGCTATATAAATGCAATAATCTTGGACGCGACGTTAAACCCAATTTCACCTCACCTCACCTCACCTCACCTACTATATCACGAGCATGTGATTATGAATCACTATGACATAGTTATAATACCACCGAAAAGGTGAGCGTATCCTGCCCCACCGGTGAAACCCGTCACAGACACACGCAAAGGCAAGTCAGCTTGAACATATAGTAATAGTACATATTGCAGTCAAAATAGAGAATGCATCTAATATTATTTTTGTCACTGATGCCTCAAGTATGGAAATGTTCCCAACATGTCTACCATAACTCTTTTTGAGAGCTTTACTAAGGCCTTGAATGTCGTAACCGTGATCAAACAACTCCTGAACAAGAGTTGTATGACGCTTTTTGAAATCTTGGTTCAAAGAACATGCTCGATTGTAGCTCAAACGTTGTGAAATGTAAACACCAAGGGCTGGAGCTGCTGGGATAATGTTAGACATAAAGGGGAAGTTGACTATTGGAAGGTTGAAGTCATCTCTCTTGTCATACAGTCTGGTGGAGAGTGTTTTCATGCATAGATCTTAATAGGAAACAGATGAAGCTGACTGTCTGGTCTCCTATATTTCTAGTTCAGGTGGGTACATCAGTGGAAAGGATTGGCTAGTTGATTTTTATTGAACGATATCAGATCATCGATATACCAGAAGCTTAAGTTACATTTCTTGGCTAATTACCTTGTTTTGACTTTGCCAATCCGTGCATAAATTCTCATATTCACAAAGAAACAGCAAGAAATACCCATTGGGATGCTAACTTCATGCCTACATGTTTTACCCCAAATTCTACATAAATTGTATCAATGAGAAAGGTCAGCATTTCACATATTGTTTTCCCAGTAAACTTTAGATGGCATTTGCTTTCATTTTTGACAAATTGACCTGAACCTCTGAATATAGAGACGTAACTGTATCTGTGGTCACCACGTTTTGTAACAAAAGCCCTATGGATCAAGGAATGAAACTTTCAATAAGTGTTGTACAAGTTAAAAAATCAAATGATTTAACAAAATTGAACCTGATTCTTTTTTAAGTCAAGCAAATCCTTTGAGTTTTTGAGAATCCTCATGGTATTAATTGTTTCCAATACTTTCTGTGAATATAAAGACAGTCCTTCCTTGATTGTATTAAGGATTATGGTTAATATTGTGATAGGGATTTGGTGGTACATTCGCTGGACTGATTTTTATGGAGCGTTGGAATCCTGTACAAAAGAGGAATGGACAGGCACAGGTCTTAGAGTCAAGTCAACAGTTGCTAGGACAGGTTTCTTCCTCAGTTGACATACTGACCTTAGATGTGGCATTTGGTGAATATTGATTAAGGTGTTCTGTAAGCTGATTTGTTGAAAAACAGTGTAAATGGAATTGGATACAGAACCTTTTTCGAATTGTTGACTTCGTATGAATATTTCATCAATATATTTTATAATTCCAAATTTGAAAAGAAAAACCAACCGTGTGATTCGTCATGGTGTAATGGATAACACGTCAAAAGATATATATTAATTTTGCACGACAGCCTTTATTTGGAAAAGCTAGTATTTTTGCTACACTCGTTTAATCAGGCGTCTTGATACCACTGTTCACATGGAAGAACGTGACGGCATCACGTTCAAGAGTGACGTCATAGCATCGCAGAGTGACGTCATGTCCGTCAATGCATGAGAGAGTTGTTGATAGCTTTTGTAATTCGAAATGTCAGTAACCATTATGTGCCTCTGATTAGTGGCCGTTGTGTAGTCCATTCCCGGATATATCAACATTAGTTAAAAATTAAAGCTCATTAATAAAAACTTAATGAATCACTTCATCTTCCAGTGGTAACACTATCTACTCTGTCTACAAATGTCAGAGGACACGCATGGCCCGGTCGTTTTAGGCGCCGCAATTCGCTCTGCAGTATTATGTCCCTTCGTGCGCACGTGAGACCTGTGATTGTGGGTTCTAATCCTATATTCGCCGGGATTATATTTCTATTTTTGTCAGCTCCATACACGTGCTCGTGGGTTTCATTAAGGTGGTAACCAGTGTCTGAACCTCAGCGGAGTAAACTGATAGCATATAGGGCCAGCTCATTTAAAAAACTGTTGGCCAAGTGGAAAATCTGAAGGCCAAAACAATTTAGCTGATGCAGGGAGACATACTCCTGCAATATATATTACAAAACACAACCAGTCAACCAGTAGCGTTCCTCAGCGAAGAGATGAAGCCTACATTTATCAAGGAAATTATCAGCTTGTAAAACATCTTTGCTACTACATGTCACATACAATTTGAAAGGTCGAATCCTACTGTTTAGTAACATAAAGGTTATCTAAGTAATGCATTAATAACTTAATTAAGATTTTGAAGACTTTTATTTTCATTGTTATAGTAATCGGAAAATGATGATAAAACAAATTTAGTTCATAGTTCATGTAGCTTGACGTCGAGATTGCGCTAAGACGCCAAAAATGGCAAAGAGAGGGGCTCAAGTCGCTATTCGGCTAGTCCCGGAATAACACGAGTTGGTCACGAATGTGTTTGGAGAGTACTCACACGACCCGGCGTGATTTTTAAAGTACCAGCTATTCACCAACAAAAGCAAAGGAAACATGCATATATTTATTGTAGAATACATTTAACAAAATCTGAGAAAAACGCACGCTGTGGCCGAGGTAACTAATACGTAAATAGTAGCTCTGTGGCACCAGTGGTGAACTACACCGACATGCGCAGATGGGTAGCGTATCGGGGTCGTTACGCTAGATTCTTCTGCGCATGTGCGTACCATTTCACAATAGTTCATCGCTGGAAAAGCAAAGACGTTGGTATAGGTCTCATGAGGGAGAGACCCGGCTGTCATCCTCAATGTCTATACCTGATGCTGTTGAGTACAGCGCTAATTGACGAGGGTATTGTCAGTTTTCTAAAATATGACCATTACATTGAAAGAAAGAACAAGCTTAAGTATTTTATCCTTGTTACTCAGGAGAGGACAAGAGCGGGACATGTAGCTCAGTTTTTGCTGAAATGTCCACAAACGTTGTCTCAGTGGGAGGCTACGGATTCGTCTTCAAATCATATCTGACCACTGCATCTCCAAAGCCAGACCGTATGTCTCTGAAGGCTGGCCACGCCCAGACCAAACGCCGACCACACCCAGGTGTACCTTCACTATATATTGGCCACAACGTCTCTACACCATGGCCACACCTCTGTCTTGTCCACACTGACCTAACACAGGCGATGTTCTTGGCACATAACTGCCTCGTCCAGTACCCTGGCTGTCACATACCTTAACCACACTAAGTCGAGTTATGTCAAGACCACGCACTATAATGTAGACATTAATGGAGGATTCATCATCACAAGGCACATGCTAAACATGACCATCGCCTGATTTTGTGGAAATAGTGTCTCGAATAACACTCATGTCTCAACAGCATCCTATACGTTCCTTTTCAAGTAGAACAGAATAAGGGAGGAACACACATATGCCCACTTACGTCCGCCCTTTCCCAAATCTAGAAGGATCGGTTATCTCCCTTTGGTATCCGTGACGTCAAGCTGTCGACACTCTTGCATCATAGGATGTAACTTTGAATGAACACCAGTTTGAGTCAGGCAACACGCGTCCTCAAATCCTAATCGTTATAAACCCGACTCTGACAATATGAAGGCGTTGATGCGTTATCCAACTTCATCGACGAAATTTGTTTTCCTAGCGCTGCACACTGTCATTTTGGTGTCCTAGGGCTGCACACTGTGTCACTTTGATGCCATAGGGCTCCCCACCGTGTCACTTTGACGTCCTAGCTCTGCACACTGTGTCACTTTGATGTCCTAGGTCTGCACACCGTATCACTTTGATGTCCTAGGGCTGCACACTCAGTCACATTGCCATTTTATGGGTGCACACTATGTCACACTGCTGCCTAAAGACAGCACACTCTCATTGTTGTCTTTCACGGACACACACTACTGTCCTCGGGCTGCACACTGTGTCAGACTGCTGTCCTAGGGCTGCACACCGAGTCACACATATGTCCTAGGGATGCACACTGTTTCACACTTGTTTTACACCGCTGTGCTAGGGTTGCACACTGTCACACTGAGTCACACTAATGTCCTAGGGTTGCACACTGTCACACTCAGTCACACTGCTGTCCTAGGGCTGCACACTGTGTCACACTGAGACACACTGCTGTTCTAGGTTTGTACACTGTGTCACACTGAATCACACCGCATTCCTAGGGCTGTACAATGAGACACACCGCATTCGTAGGGTTGTAGGGGGCACGGGTGGCCCAGTCGTCTAAGGCGCCGCGATTCGCTGTGCAGAGTTGCGTCCCTTGGGCACGCCAGAAACCTATGATTGTGGGTTCGAATCCCGGTTCGCCCCGATTATGTTTCTAGGTTTGTCAGCACCATACCCGTGCTCGTGGGTTTCACCGAAGTGGTAAACGTCTGAGACCCGCATCACTTCGGGCTTTTCTCCAACATTAAGCTGACACGCCGTGATTTAACTGGAATACTGTTAAAAGCGGCGTTAAACCCAACTCACTCACTCACTCCTAGGGTTGCACACTGTGTCACACTCCTGTCCTTGGGCTGCACACTCACACTGAGTCACACTGCTGTCCTAGGGCTGCACACTGAGTCACACTGCTGTCCTAGGGCTGCACACTGAGTCACGCTGCTGTCCTAGGGCTGCACATTGTGTCACGCTGTGTTACACCGCAGTCCTAAGGCTGCACACTGTGTCACATTGCTGTCCTAGGGCTGCATACTGAGTCACACTGCTGTCCTAGGGTGCACACTGAGTCACACTTTTTTATACCGCTGTCCTAGGGTTGCACACTGTGTCACGCTGTGTTACACCGCAGTCCTAGGGCTGCACATTGTGTCACACTGCTGTCCTAGGGCTGCACACTGCGTCACACTGCTGTTCTAGGATTGCACACTGTGTCACACTGCTGTCCTAGGGCTGCACATTGTATCACACTGCTGTCCTAGGGCTGCACACTGCGTCACACTGCTGTTCTAGGATTGCACACTGTGTCACACTGCTGTTCTAGGATTGCACACTGTGTCACACTGCTGTCCTAGGGCTGCACATTGTATCACACTGCTGTCCTAGGGCTGCACACTGCGTCACACTGCTGTTCTAGGATTGCACACTGTGTCACACTGCTGTTCTAGGATTGCACACTGTGTCACACTGCTGTCCTAGGGCTGCACACTGAGTCACACTGCTGTCCTAGGGCTGCACACTGTGTCACACTGCTGTCCTAGGGCTGCACACTGAGTCACACTGCTGTCCTAGGGATGCACACGGAATCACTCTGCTGTCCTAGGGCTGCACACTGCGTCACACTGTTTCACACTGCTGTCCTAGGGCTGCACACTGTAACACTCAGTCACACTGCTTCCTAGGGCTGCATACTGTGTCACACTGTGTCACACTGCTGTCCTAGGGCTGCATACTGAGTCACACTGTGTCACACTGCTGTCCTAGGGCTACACATTGTGTCACGCTGTCTGACACCACAGTCCTAGGGCTGCACACTGAGTCACACTGCTGTCCTAGGGCTGCACATTGTGTCACACTGCTGTCCTTGGGCTGCACATTGTGTCACATTGATGTCCTAGGGATGCACACTGTGTCACACCGCTGTTATAGGGCTTCACACTTAGTCACACTGTGTCACACTGCTGTCCTAGGGCTGTACACTGTGTCACACTGCTGTCCTAGGGCTGTACACTGTGTCACACTGCTGTCCTAGGGCTGTACACTGTGTCACACTGCTGTCCTAGGGCTGGACATTGTGTCGCTCTGAGTCACCGAGTCGTTGAGTCACACCTTAGTTCCCTCCGTTGTCTGGGACACAGGAGCATACACCTGGCAGCGCCTGCATCCACCCCCAAAAACACCCTTCCGAAAATTAGCACTGAAGGCGAAAAATAAGAAAAACTTGATATAAAAATTGATGTAGGACACCTGCTCAAAAATCAACAGGATGAAACTCAAGAAGATTGAACTATTTTGTGTATAGCCCAATATCTGTACCGTGAGCGCGTACAACCTGACGCTGTGGACGGGGATGTTGAGTAGCAGGTACGTCAAGGAGAGAGCAAAAAGCATCTTGGCCACACGGACCTGAGGGCAGCTGGATGACCGCTGGCTCTCCCGTGTCGTTCTCTTCCTTCTCTTCCTCAGGGATGTGACGATAGCGCACACAATAGCCACCAACATGAACATCATTGCAAGGAACGGCAACAACAGCGTCAGAACGGTATCTATAAGGGTGATGATGGTCATGAAGGTGCCCCAGCTCGGTTTGGTCTGACACATGGGGATGCCGGTATACGAATTCGTAGCAACGTGGGTGGAGAATATATAAAACATATATATCAGAAGCGCGGATACAAGTAAAGATATAACGACTCCACGAGCTCGGGTTAGAGTACAGAGTGTTCTTATCCTCATCGGATGGCATATCGTGATGTAGTTCTCTACAGTGATGCACACCATGAACCACACGGAGAGGAAACTAAAACAATACTGAAAGTACACGTATAGCTGACATATTCCTGGTTTGTGGGTGAACTTGTACCCCAGCGTCTCCAACCACTGAAACGACATCGTCAACAACAAGCCGGTGTCGGCCGACAGCACAGATAACACGTACACACTGGAGGACAACTTCCTCAGCTCCTTGCCCGCGAACACCAGGATGGACACAATGTTGGCAACCAGGCCAACGAACACGTCGGTTGGGGTCACGTATTTATGAAACATGGAAGCGACTGTCTGCAGCAGCATGTTGTCGTGATTGGTGGTGTCGTAGTAGGGCATGGTGTCGGTAACGTTGAGGTAGTCGTCAGTCGGGCAGTCGACACAGGAAGATGTGGAGGACTCCATCGTCAGAAGCGTGATGGTGAGAGCTCTACATAGAAAAGGTTACAGCCATTGAATACTTATATAATATAATTAATAACATGACTTTATAACAAGTACAATATTAAAAATGACACGTGGACAGTGTTATCGATACGATAAACTAATCCGATAGATTTGGTTTCACGATCCTTGAAATATGAAAATGAGATCAAATATCAAAAATACTTCCAGCCTGCTTTCATCGATATCTGCTTCTCAATAACCTATTGACCAACCCGCCCAAAAAATCCAATAAAGTTTTTTCCAATGTGTGGCTGGTCATACGGATAAAAAATACTAAACATCATTCGCCACTATATGCAAAAAGTGGCGTTTCACTCAAACACTGTACTCGCATGTGGTTTCCAAAAGTTACTTTAAAGATCGAAATTACGTCTAAAACATCGACTGATTTGAAGAATGACAAAACATGACTGAAATTATTACCTTCGTGTGTTTCCGTATCGTAAATATGAAACATTATGAGAAAAGATCGCATAATACATGATATGTATGATACGGCGTGAGTGAGTGAGTATGGTTTTACGCCGCTTTCAGCAATATTCCAGCATTATCACGGCAGGGGACACCAGAAATGGGCTTCACACATTGTACCCATGTAGGAAATCGAACCTGGGTCTTTGGCGTGACAAGCGAAGGCTTTATCCACTGGGCTACCCAGCCGTCCCTTATGATACAGAAACTCATCCAGGTAATAATCTCTATGTATCGATGCAACTTGAAATATAATAGGGAGATTATTGTGTATTGACAAAGATTTTAGCCCAGGCTGTTAACACTGTATAAAGTTGTGATTGGACTATTCCAATTAAGTTAAGAAAAATCTTGCTTTTAAAAAATGCTTCCATAAATTTCTTCACAGTTTTAACCTAAATTCACGAGGTGTAAGGGGCGGTCGGGTAGCCTAGTGGTTAAAGCGTTCGCTCGTCACGCCGAAGACCCGGGTTCGATTCCCGACATGGGTACAATATGTGAAGCCCATTTGTGGTGTCCCCCGCCGTGATAATGCTGGAATATTGCTAAAAGCGGCGTAAAACCTCACTCACTCACGCACGAGGTGTAAATATACTGAATGTAAAACACGTAAAAAGAACTTATCATAGGCTATGATATGATAATATTAAAATTTGATAAATGTGAAAAAACTTACTTTACAGTCCTATCTGTTTCCTCAGTGGTGATGACTGGCGAGATGAGCTTGAGCAACGTTATGACACTGTTGACAGTTTGTATGATGGCTTGAGAACGTCTCACAGTGTATCAGGTATCCCCGACTCCACTCCATGGGAGAAGAAGCCAACGAACACTATTGATTCCTGTCTTTCACAGATTCACGTATGTTGAGCACATGCGACTCATCATATTGACGACATATTTGTCTACAAAGCTCCCATTCTGTATATTTCCACACAAAACAATGTAACATGTTTAGACCAACATTCGACAAACATCTTATCTCGTTATCTGGCAAATGTGGTCGATAATTCAAGGTTACTTACGACGAATGGACTTGGTGTATCAAAATAGATGCTCCTTCCTTGAAATGAATCAGCTGTATTATCGATGCGCAAACATCCGATACTTTTCGAATGTGGTTGATCGTAAGGGCAAAACCAACACGCCTCACTTAGTCGAGCGTCGGAAACATTAAACAGGTTTGAAGTAATGGCACTTCTTTCAAGTAAATATTGTTAATCGAAAGAAGTTTTTTTTTCAACATATGACAAAACCACAACGTGTTTGAAGACTCAACGGAATATGGATTGTTTTAAATGAATGAGATTCGAGGCAGGTACCAATCTGCTAACTCATAGCGATCGTTGGTCTGACTGCCAGCACACCTTGCAGACGTAAGCATCACACGGAGACAACCACGAGAATCCTCTTCTAGTCGGTGGATAATTGCATTGATCAGGGGGTACGATGGTAGCAGCGTGCAGGGCTTAACATCGATCAGGCTTTAAAGCGTCTTCTCACACCCTGCAATAAAGTGACAAACTTGTAAACACCATTTATAGTGACTGGCGGGACGATTAACATAATGGCCAGATACAAGCCCAATATTGTTCCGTGAACCAATAGGGAGCGATGTGGTCAGTGGAAGGACAGTGTCAGACTGCGTTGGTGCCACGGCGGGGAATTATTGAGGTAACAACTTCAAAATATATCTTTCATTTAGAAAACAGCACATTTATTTATACGTATTCGATTTTGGTGTGGCGCTCTGTGTAGTTAATGGCGAGTGTGGTTACCTGGGGACAGAGTGGTAGGTTCGGACACAAACTTTGTGTCACCGATCATTTGGTATTGTTGGGGTTGTAGTGGAGTTTATCTGTTTGTGTTTGCTCGGTTTGTTTAGTGTTTTTTGTGTTGTTGTTTTTTGTGTGTGTGGGATTGTGGTTGGGGGATTAAGAAAAAAAAATATGAAGAAAATAATGAAAATGAAAATATATATTATCTCTAACAATAAATACCCGCCCTGAAACCGCTGTTATTTGGGCATATATGGCTTCTGAAACCCGTTATTGGGGAGTTATTAAGGAAAGAGCTCGTGCACATCCCTCCCGGTGTCCCGTATACTGCATTCTTCCCATGTCTGAGACTGAAATTATATATATAGCCAGTGGACAGTTCCAAACTTGACGCGTCAGTAACAAATATGATGTCTCATGCAGTTCCCTATTTTGACTTGTACCGTATATACTCGTGGGTTTTTTTCAGGTGAAATATTGACTTGCCTTTGCATGTGTTTGCCGATGGTGTGGCAGAATACGGTCACGTTTTTGCAAACACTTCGTATCATCACTACTTGATAGTAATTCATAAACACATGCTTATGATATACTCGGAAACGGACAATCGACTCTGCGTTTATTCGAGATTTGTTACGTTTCTTGGAAGGGTTTTGATTTGTTATTGACTAGGAAATTTGCATAACTGATACAAGATGAAGTGAACGTCGCGCTCTTGATGAAATGATGGAAAACTATGAAACATTTTTTATTAAGTATACAAAACTACTTTCAATTAAATCATTATTGTATGGTTCATTAAACAAATATTTGTATTTCTGATCCTTCATGTAAAATAGTTTCCTCATTATGCAAATATTAAGTTGTCGGTAGAAAAGTGTATTACAAATGTGAAACAGACACTGATGATATATAAATATACAAAGAAACAATATCACTTCTTTGATAGGTTATTAACTGCACATTTAGAACATCGTTCTATGCGGGGGCACGGGTGGCCCAGTCACCTAAGGCGCCGCAATTCGCTGTGCAGAGTTGCGTCCCTTGGGCACGCCAGAAACCTATGATTGTGGGTTCGAACCCCGGTTCGCCCCGATTATGTTTCTAGGTTTGTCAGCACCATACCCGTGCTCGTGGGTTTCATCGAAGTGGTAAACGTCTTAGACCTGCATCACTTCGGGCTTTCCTCCCTCATTAAGCTGACACGCCGTGATATAACTGGAATACTGTTAAAGGCGGCGTTAAACCAAACTCACTCACTCACTCGTTCTATGTATGATTGTGAAGGCCAGAAGTTTCTGACCTTGATGACTTGTGTGGTTCTGTATACCGTGGTTGAGTGTCATGTGATAAAATTGTTTAAAAAAAAACCCCAAACTACAAAACAGTCCGTATGTCAGAGCGGTGGTTCAAGCTGACATCCAGGGAGCGCATCAGAGTGAGTGAGTGAGTTGGGTTTAACGCCGCTTTGAACAGTATTCCAGTTATATCAAGGCGTGTCAGCTTAATGTGGGAGGAAAATCTGAAGTGTTGCAGGTCTCAGACATTTACCACTTCGGTGAAGCCCACGAGCACGGGTATGGGTCTGACAAACCTAGAACATTATCGGAGCGGACCGAGATCCGAACCCACGACCAAAGGTTTACGGCGTGCCCAAGAGTGGCAACTCCGCACAGCGAATCGCGGCGACTTATAATTAAACGACTGTGCCATTCGTGTCTCCACAACGCAAATGCAGTTAAGAAGAAAAAATAGAATTGTATGTATGCAATGCATTTTTAGAATAATATGCATATGTATAATGCGCCAAATCCATGCCCTAATGCATGCTCAAAGCGCTGCATTATTGCCCCAGTCAATGGATCAGTGAGCACTCGAGTTTCATTCTCAGCTCCCTGGGGAGTATACAACCCAAGCTGTCTGTGAGGCGATAGAAAGGTAACACCTACATTACATCTCATCCTACCGGATATATATACTTTATTTCTTTTCTAAGATGCTGATTTTTATTTTATTGGTTCTGGGTTTAAAATCAAATCCGTGATGGCCTCTGACGTAAATTGAAAATCCTCGAACAGGGCGAATTGAAGGGCTCTTCCACCTTATTGCTTGCATCATTATGTTAAGGAACATATCTACCTTTTGAACATATTAAAACACAACTAAAATAGGTAGTTTGTTATTTAAATTCGTCATATTTCATTATCCGTTCAGTGTGCGGTTGTCAATGATCCCATGCAGCAATAAGTAGGATTTTTAACTTTATGGTTTTAATATTAATTTGCTTCAAATTAATCACGTGACACGAAGCATATCACAAGTGCATTGTGGGGCCGAGCTGAGAAATGTAAGCAAAGCCAGCCAAAGTTCGCATTCGTGACCAACTCGTGTTATTCCGGGACAAGCCGAATAGCGGCGAGTGGTGACGAATGCCGAAGTTTGGTGTCGCTGGATAAATTGTGAGTTGAGGTGTTTTCTGTTGTACAAGATCCAACTTCGTTAAACCACTGATGTTAGTAAACTGCAGCAACTGCAAGCTATAAAAGTGTGTGCTTGCCGAGTTGGTTGCGCTACACGATACCGTTACCGAGGAAGAGCAATTTAGCGGCCATTTTGGTTGACTGTAGTATACTGCAAAACGTACTCTTAGCAACAAGTGTACGTGTGTTTATGAAACGTTTCATGGAGCGCTCATTCCTTTTGGGTAGACTGCAGTTGACCTATTCCTTTGTCCAGGGACAGACATAATTCGGGGCACCAGCGTCCGCCTCGGACAGTTGTATGACTACTGTGGCATGGATACAAAGGTTTGAATATGTGTGTGATAAGCCTGCGGCAAGATTTGTTTGCTTGTTTGTTTGTTTGTTGTTTAACGTCGCACTCAGCAATATTCCACTTATATGACGGCGGTCTGTAAATAATCGAGTCTGGAATAAACAATCCAGTGCTATACAACATGAGCATCGATCCACGCAATTCGGATCAATGACATGCATCAACGTTAACCAAGTCAGCAAGCCTGACCACCCGATCCCGTTAGTCGCCTCTTACGACAAGCATCGTCGCCTTTTACGGCAAACATGGGTTGCTGAAGACCTATTCTATCTTCACGGGCCCTGCGGTAAGAGAGGAGGTTGACGCCATCTTACCGTATATCTTCCAACGTAATAATATTGAAATATTAGACAAGATTAAAAAAAACTATAAAACATTCTGTAACTATTCATAAACTATAACGTTGTCACCAAAGATGCGTCAAATCGCGGGGGAGGAAATTTGAACAGCGCCATGATGTTAGTCTATTATGAACGAACTAAAAATGTTTAAAAAAAATAATACTATGAACAATGATATAAGTTTGCTACGCCATAAATCGAAAAGAACAATAAAGAACGAAGTGTGGTTCATTTCACGAAAACAACATTGTCTATCGTGACGCCATTTCTGGAGATTCGAACATGCGCTCGCAACTTGATGACGTCGTATATTGGACGTCGTTATTTTTGCGAGGGAAGTGTCTAGTGAGTTGTTCCCTATGGATGTAGCTGGGGTACGCAGATAAACGTGATGGCCGAACGATCGCAACCAAAAACGGGAGTGATATGGGCATCGTCATCGGGAAAAACAGATAATCGACGTGAGGATTGTGAGAATATGCGAAATATGCCCAGCTGTGCACAAACTGGACTTGTCTGACATTGCCGAGGTCGAATTCTATAAAGGGAGTCGTCATTATAAAAATATGGGTAAATATTTTTCAAAGCTTTTTCCCTTCGTCATCAACCTTAAAATATGTTGATATTAAGGTGTATTCTCCCTGCAGTGTTTTAGTGTTTTATATCTATATTTAATGGATGCTAGTGCATATTACATTTGAACCACAGAGACCCGCCTTACATGATGGATAGGGATATATGTGGTTTACGTGATTAAAAGTAGTTATGAAGAAGTCAGTGCGAGTGTAAAATATCGCCTACACAAAATACCGTTGCTCAAAGAACATGCAATATATAGTTTACTTTCTAAAAAAACATGTTTTTGAAAAGAAACGTATATATTGCAAGGTGAAAGTGAGGTGAAATTGAGTTTAACGTCGCGTCCAAGATTATTGCACTTACATAGCGAGGTGCATGCACGTGTGTGTGTGTGTGGCTGCTTGTACTAGTCCGGACTGATGCCGATTTATAGTGCTAGCTCACTGAGATACCATGCCGCAGTTTAACATGAATACCACACTCAGACACAGTATACTGACTCCGAGCCGACCAGTCCTTGTTTTAGCCCCTTAATGCCGAGCGCCAGACAGGGTAACAACAAGTACCATCTTTTGACGTCTTTTGGTATGACGCAGCCGGGATCGAACCCCGGACCTTTCGCTCTCCAGGCGGACGCCCTACCACTAGACCACGGAGGCGGTCCTACATTGCAAGGCCAACGCAAGGCGTAATCTTGTGACATCACAGGGAGGCTGCAGCAATCTACAGATTTGAACGCATCGGTGATGCTTCTTGTTGGGGTATACACACACTGGCGTCACAATTTTACACTATTTTGTAGGGATGGGTATTGGATGTTTAAAGTGTATTACAACATTCTACAATGCAGAAAGTCGTTTTGCGATACGTATCACAATATAATGTATAATTCAAATTTGGTATTCAGAAGCAATTTGAAACATCAATGTGCAGGAATTAAAGTTTATAAATGGAATAAAACAAGATGCTGGAA